GACTCTAATACAGTAGAAGTATATACAATAAGAACAATTATTAGGGAGGAATTACATTCACAGTGCAGTCCATTTGCATTTGACAAATTCAGAGGAAGTACTCAGTTATCTATTCTATCTTGGTGTGTCCAAAGTTTTATACCTAAATGGCTTTTTATCATAATGTATTACCAACCTAAAAATATCTCTTTAGATGTTAAAACATTTTCCTAGATTAACAACTTAACTCTTATGTTTCTCAGTCTTACAAAATTTACATCTCTTTTGTAAGTTTATTTTTGAATTTGGTAACAAAGGAAATGGTCTTCAACTCCTATCAGAGGCTCCAGAAGCATAAAATATTACTTGAGTAGACAGAAAGTGCAGGACAAACAACTTTCAAAACTATAGAAACAACAGAGAGCTGGTGGCCTGGGCAGTCACTCAAGGTTATTCTGAAGCATCGGGGCATCCATCTTTGACCTATATGCCTAGAATATTTGACAGATTTTTCAGTGAAGCAGGAATTTTGAGAGACTAGCTTACCCTATCATGACAAAGCTTGGTTGTCAGATTCCTTTGTGTCCTGTTTGTCCAATTTGGGCAGCATACTGTCAGCAGTCGAGGCAAAGGGAAGTTCTTCAATGACCATAATCTCCTCTGAAGAAGACTGGTGTTGTCAGGAGCAGATTAATCTTACTGTAAGGAAAAGCCTTATGTTACTAAAGCATCTTAAATGCCATATTCTGTAGATCTTTGAAGTGTTTGAAGACCACCTATGTATATAAAACATATTTTTGACCTTGAAAACATACCTAAGGTAACTTTAAGTTCGATTGTTATAGATTACTAACTACTAACCTGCATTTCATAATTACCCTAAACACTTTGTAATAATAGCTTTCAAGGACTAGAACTTTACCTTATATTTTTAAATGAGCTTCATGGGTATAATACCTTAAACGAGAGTAGAAACATATATACAGTATAACAAAATAGCCTTAATTTTGTGTTAATATATAAAAATCCATAACAATGTAAAATACTTGAGACTAGTAGTTCAGAAAGAGATCCTTGAATCTAAACTCCTTAGCTGATTCACTGGGCCTGGTTTGTGCTTTTGAAAGTCGATCCTCAGTGACACACTTCCTCCAACAAGGCCATACCTTCTAATCCCTGTCAAGTAGTTCCATTCCCTGACTATTAAGCATTCAAATGTATGAGCCTAGGGGACCATTCCTGTTAACCCACCACATTCCTCTCCCTGGCCCACATACACTTATAACAACATCATAGTGCAAAAATGAATTCAGTCCAACTTAAGAAGTCTCCATAGTCTATAACAGTCTCAACACTGTTTAAAAGTCCACACTTCAAAGTCTCTTCTGGGACTAAAGGCAATCTCTTACCTGTAATCCCCTATAAAATCAAAATCTAAAAGCAGAGCACATACTCCCAATATACAATGGCACAGAATGAGGAAAGGGAACATAGGAAAAAATACTGAACCAAAACAACAACAAAAACCAGTTGGGCAAACACCAAATTCCAAATTCTGCATCCCCAAAATGCTCTTCAGATCTCCAACTCCTTCCAGCATTGTTGACTACAACAAACTTCTCTCTCTTGGGCAGGTTCCACTCCATGTTAGTTCTCCTCAGCAGGAATTCCACTGCTCAGACATATCCAACATCTTGAGGTCTCCAAGGAAATGTAAGCATCACCTTCACAGCTTCATGCAGTGACCTTTCTGGGCCTCCATTCAGGGACACTCATGACACATGCTTGGCCTCAGCAGTTTTCCTTAGCTGAGGATGGAGATTCCACAACCCCTTTCTTGTATCCTTGCCAGAACCATGTAGCTGAAGTTACCAGGTTCTGCTTCTTTCTAGGACTGGAACTTGGTCCCTTCATTCAAATACATTTTTATCAGCTTTCTCTTTTCAATGGTTTCCTTTATTGCTTAATCCTTTCATTAACTCTTTTTCACAAGTTGGTGCTTAGCTAGCTGGGTGGGATCCTGCCCTGAAGTTACCACTTATTTATTCCATTTAGCATCAGGCATTTCTGAAACCTTTTATCTCCTGAGAACAGGACTTAGCTTCCTTACACTTCCTGGTGCTCCTTTTCTCCTCAAAATGTACATTAAAAAAAAAAAATCTACTTGCTTAACTTGTTCCTTTTTAATATAGATTTGCATAAGAATGACCACTAGAATCCCCCATGACAGCACCCCTTACCAGCAGGAAGTAGTTTGGAAAGAACAACGCCCAAATTCCCAAATATTGTCTATAAATGTTAGTTTTCATTTTAATGGACTTGGTTATTAAAAAAAAAGAAGAAGAATACTAGGAATAAAGGAAGGAGAATTCCAGTTTAAAAAAAAAAAAAAAAAAAAGAATGACCACTATTAACCACACAGCACAGTCAATACTTGGCTGTCTTGAAATTTCTTCTGCCAGTGCTTATTAACCCAAAAATCCTTAAATTTAGCCTTAGGCAAATTTTTTCACACATGGGCAAAAAGCAGCCATGTTCTTTGCCAAAATATCACAAGAATGGTCTCTAGGCAACTTCCTAATATTCTTCCCCTCTGAAACTTCTTGAGCTGGGACTCCACATTTGATACCACCCTCAGTACCTCTGTTTGTCTTCCATGCTCTTACTAAGATGACCTATGAAGCCCTGTTAAAGCATCCAATCATTTATTTATTAATTTATTTAATTATTTATTTATTTATTGTCCTGGTACAAAGTCCCAAAGTCTTCTACATTCCTCCAACAAACCGGCATGGTCACAGAAATACCCCACTCCTTTGTACCACCTGCTGTCTTAGTTAGGATTTCTATTACTCTTATAAAAGAAAGCATGTAAATGGGTGCTTGCTTACAGTTTCAAAGGTTTAGCCCTTTATCATCACAGCGGGGAACATGGAGGCACAGAGACAAGGGCTGGAGATTTCTCTTGAAATTTTCAGTGCTTTATTAACATCCTGGGCACATCTCAGTCAATCAAATTGGCAATCAGGAGGAACGCTCACAAGTAGCCAACTGACTAGAGGGAACATCGTTGTTGGGACTCATGAAAAAGCCTTGCAGAGAAGGCTTCCCCAGTGGGAAGGTCCGTGTTACCCTCCTGAAATGTTCTATGTCTGTGCTGCCCGGTACTGCGAGCTTCAGTGAGTGGGCCCCTGAAATACACCTACGAAGACTGAGGGACGGAATTTTCACTTTTGCCTCATTTCAGCTGATTCTAGATGAAGTTTAAGTAGGCACATGTACTACAATATGGCTAGAAATGAAATCTTTCCTTTTTCTCATCACCACAATTACTGGGAAATAAGCTGATTATTTTAGTTTACAATCAATGTTTTCATCAATGGTCTTCCTCCCAGCTCTTAATGAGCCAGGATTGTATATTGTGCCAGTACTGCCATTCTCTGGATAATCAAGTGTTTTCCTCTGCAGATTGAAGGTTGAGTAGTTCTTGGACCCAGATGTATATATTTAATTTTAATTTATTTTTATTTATTTATTTGTTTGTTTGTTTTCCATGACAGGGTTTCTCTTAGTAACAGCTCTGGCTATTGTGGAACTCACTCTATAAACCAGGCTGGCCTCAAACTCAGAGATCCACATGTCTCTGCCTCCTGAGTGATAGGATTAAAGGCATGCACCAACACTTCCTGGAAATTTTTAAATTTACTTTTAATATGCTTTTGGTTTTCAAAACTAAATTCAGTCCAGTACTCACCTTCCCAGTTTGACTTCTTAGTGTAATTTTCCCCATGTTCCCCACTTCTTCAGTGAGACCTGATCTTTAACGTTAATGCATTATCTATTTCTAGATTCCAAATTATATCAAAATTTAGTGACTTGGAACAGTGCTTTTTTATTCTCTCTTCCATGGTGTCTGGGGCTCAGAAATCTGTGGGTAGCTTTGCCAGGAATTGGTTCAGGGTGGCCTCCAAGAAGGCTCAGAGTTTCCCAGAAGGCTGCCACCAAAATACCAGCTAGCACCCCAGTCATCTTTAGGCTGGACCAAGGGGGACTATGGTTCCAAACTCCTTACATTACTGTTGATAGTTGCTGCTGCTGTAGTTATTGTTTGTGACAGAGTTCTTTGCAGCCAAAGTTACCCTTGAAAATTATTCTCCTGCCTCCTTCTCCTCCCAAGTGCTGGGATTACAGGCATGTACCACCATACCTGATAGTCACTAAATTTGGGAGGGGGGTCTCAATATGAGAGCCTTCTCTGTAGCTAGCTACCTCAATAGGTGTCTCCAACTTTCTTTTATCCTGGTTCTTTAACCAAAGAAATGCAGACAGGTACCTAGGGGAAAATCATAAGGTACAAGTGGAGTGTTGTCTTACTTAGGGTTTCTGTTGCTGTGAAGAGACATCATGACTACTGCAACTCTTTGAAAGGAAAACATTTTATTGGGGTGGCTTAACATTTTCAGAAGTTTAGTCCATTATCATCAGGGTGCACCGTGGTGGCATGCAGGCAGACATGGTGCTGGAAAAGGAGCTTAAAGTCCTACATAACTGTCCCTCAGGCAACAGGAAGTAGTCTAAGGCCCTGAGAGTGGCTTGAGCATATATAAGACCTCAAAGCTGGCTGCCACAGTGACACACCTCTTCCAACAAGGCCAGTAACTACTCCAACAAAGCCACACATCCTAATAGTGCCACTCCCTGTGAGTTTGTGGGGGCCAATTTCATTCAAACCACCACAGTTGTTTTGAATCAAATTCTCATGGCTTATGTGCAATGCCACTAAGATCACAATGACAACAGCAGACTCTTCATAGTTTTATTATTTGGTTTAATACGTTCTTCTTATTTACCTCCACAGGAGTGAAATAACCAAGCTCTGACTCATTAATGACCCAAATGTGATTCTACTTCTTAGATCTGACCAAGGCCTGGGACTTCAGTTTTATCCAGTACTATAGCATTGTCTATTGACTTTTGAATAAAAGTATTCTACTTATCTGTTGCTAAGAAAAGATAAATTTGATCTTACATGGGAGGGGAGATACCATGATCACGAAGGTGGTTTTCCCAAGGCGAGGCTTAACCATTGCACTCAGGATGTGCTGACCCCTGTGATTTCCCCAAATATGGGAAACTCAACTAATACATTTAATAAACAATCCTGATTTGTAGTGTTTGTAAATACTCAACCATGGCTGAATTAGCACTACTGTGTCATACTGTATATACATACTGTATATACACAAATCTGCTCTTGCAAAACAGTGCTACCCAACCTGAGAGCAGAATAGAATTCTGCCCCTTTTTGTCTCAGCTACACACACACACACACACACACACACACACACACACACACACACACACAGCATCATGAAACGGAAACCACAGGGGTATCAAAGAACCAAAATCTCATCTAGTTTGGTGGATACTGACAAATTCAGAAGCTAAAAAAAGGAGGGGGGGAGTTCTATTCCTTCTAGGTGAGAAGTTACAAGTGAGTTTGACCTCAGGTGTCACCTGTGGGACAATAGTAACCTCCTGGCATTGTGCTGAGAAGGTTTTCTGAGACCAGTTCTATCTTTCTCAGGGCTCAGAGCAAAAGACTGATACACAATTGACTGACACACAATTGTCTTAGGCCTGGGAAGAAGTGAGAAGACACATGCCTGTGTCCCATCCTTGTCCCACAGATTTCCACCCCAACCAGTGTCCCATTCATCTCTCATTAGTCTTCTTAATTGAGGCTCTACATCCTGCCGCTCTGTGCTGTGAAAACACATGGTCAGGGCAGTGTTGGCTCTGAAGACAATTCAACAGCAAAGCACAACTAGTAAGTTTCCAGGAAGCAACCTCAACACAGATAATGTCTTTATAATGGCCAAACACCCACGAGTGCATTGATCTAAATGTCTCATCTATTAAAAGAAACTTGATATTGAATGCTCTTTTGTCTAAGGGGAAAAAAATCTTTTGATGTTGTTACTTTTCAGCCAGCTCATTGGACATAGCCTCCAATGTTAAAGAGACTATAGCCTTTCTTTCTTCTACCTCCTTAGGTTTTGAAGATGGTGGCCTCTCTTTAGGCCATGTGACACCACAGCATGATCTGAAAAGTAATTGAGGAGTTAATCCAGCACAGACTTTGAAGCCGAAGCAATCCCATCACTAATAGCTACTTGGCAGAATGATCCTTCCTTCTGGCTCTTCAAATTGGATGTAGTAATTGCTCTGGAATTTAAAATGCATCTGGGGAATTCCTTGTTTTACATTTAGGGCACAAACAGCAAATGGCTTGGGCGTGTTGTGTGTGTGTAAGTGTGTGTCCATGCATGTACCCAGTTTGGTGGCAGTGTATGCATGAATATGGCAGCTTCTCACTGGAAAGGTCTGAAAGCCTTTTAACTTACCAGGTTGTAATGGTATTGTCTGTGAAATCAATCACAAATTGACACATGTCCGTGAAACCGATCATGTGCTGGCACACGTGTCCATGTATCTGTGAAATCAATCACATGTAGGCACACGTCTGTAAATAAAACCAATCAATCATGCGTTGGCACACTTGTCTATGTGTCTGTGACATTGGTCACATGTAGGCACGCAGGTCTGTGAAATCAATCATGCATTGGTACACATGTCTGTAAAATTGGTCACACATTTGCACACAAGTCTGTGGAAAGCAATCTTCCCTCGTGGGAAGCATTTCTCAGATGGGTGCTCTGTCCACTTGTGTTGCACCTGTAGAGGTGCCCACCTTCATGTCAGTTTAGTTAGTAAATGGTGTGGGGCTTGTTCCTTCACAGCAAAGACTCAGTTTCCCATGAATCTAAATTGTTTTTCTTTCACCCTGCCTCCTTTTGTGTCTGTTGTCTTGATTAGAGCATTAGATGGTACCGCGATTCTCCCCACTGCCAAGAGTACTACTACATTTCCTGAGACTGGGACTAGACATCAAGTCCTCTGCTCCCTCCTGTCCTCACTGTTTAGTTTTAGGTAATAGCACCTGATACACAAAGAAGTCTGTGAGTCAACCTTTATAACGGTCGTGTTTGGCTTATATTTGTGATTTTTGCCTCCTTATGGCAGCTGGGGATGGGTAGTTTCACTGGGGTTTCCAACTGTCAGCAGCTACTCACCAATCAACATAAATCTGTGAACTGTCAAACATCCCAGTATCTTAAACAGACTGAAATACTAACAGAAATCAAGTCAGTAAACTAGTCCCCAACTAGGAATGAGTCTCTGCTTTTGGTGACAATTTCAAGAGTCAGTGAAGAAAACAAAAAATTCACTACTCACTTATGGAAAGAAGAAACTGGAAAGCAGAGGCTTTGTTGGGAGTTAACTGAACTTCAGCTGGAGAAGGACTAATGAGCAAGAGACAGCAATGTCCCGTGTCCTACCATGTCCTCTCTAGGTTCAGAGGCAAATGTGAGCCTAGGGTTTCGTAAGGGCGTCAAGACTTGAGGGATGAGGTGACTGAACCAGGTTAAAGGAGAAGGTCTGGGATGACAGAAGGGGAATATACAGGCATTCCCAGTGAGGCTTGAAGGCAAAGCCATGGGGGGAGGGGCAGTGAGGTCAGGGAGGCAGCCAGGCAGCCTTCCTGTGTGGGGCAGGTGGTGGGACAACAGAGACTCATGTAAACTTGATAGGCACGAATCAAATTACTGGGGGCCTTTAAGGCCACCCAGGGAAGCTTGAGGTTAATGTGACACAGGATCAGGAGCTGCTGAGGGATTTTGACAGAGAGAGTGACTTTATTGCAGTAATATTTCCAGACTCCACTTGGCAGTGAAATATAGGATGAAGTATGACCCAGGACCAGGCTGTTCACGATTGGTGAGGTGAAACAGGGTTTTCTGGCTACGGTGGGAGTGTAAGAAATGCTCCAAGGCAAATCTGGTCAGTCTTGGTGCCTGGCTAGATGGGTATGGGAAGAGGTGGGTGGGTCAGCAAGGACAGAATATGAACGGAGGAATTGACCCCAGAACAGTAGAGTGCAAGAAAGTTCTGCTTTGCAGATGGTAAGTTGGAAATGACATCGGGCAGTGTGAGGAGGACACTGTAGAAGGCCAGCATCAGGAAAGTGCTTTTCAAAGCCAGGGTAACCAGGCCAGCAGTGTTCGGCTCGCATAGCTGTGGAGCCGATGAACTATGGTTTGATATTGAGGAGTTAGGTCTACCCAGAAGCAGCCTTTGGTGTGTGTCCTACTGTGCCTGCATCTCATCCCCAGCAGCAGGTGAGGCCAGGAAGTATCAAAACTGCAACCCCTGTAGGACCTGGAAACCCAGCTAGTGACTGTCCCAAACCATAAAGTGAAAGGAAGACTGGGGGATAGCTAGTGGTAGAGAGTTTGATTAGCACATGAGAGGTGCTGGGTTCAACACCCAGTACCAAGAAGAAAACCAAAACAAACCAGAAACTTCCTGGCCCTGAATTTCACTCTAGCATATTTTGAGATAGACCACTTCTATGTCAGGAAGTTGTCTGGGGAGGTCACAGCAGTAGGAGGCAAGGATGCTGGAGACAAACCAGGACTTGATAGCACCCACAGAACTAACTAGACTCTTTATTTTATTTTTTGTCTTCTTGAGACAGGGTCTTACTATGTAGCCCTGGTTGTCCTGGAGCTCACTACAAAGATGAGGCTGGCTGGCTCTGAACTCTGCCTCCTGAGTGCTGGGGATAAAGGTGTGCATCTTAGTCTAGCCAGGCCACACCTGGCTAGACAAAGCACTCTTTAGTGGGAAGAAATGACAGAAGGGATTGATGAGTAGGTCAAATGGTTGATTGATGTGGAAAGTGAGTAAAAGGGAAGATTCTAGGATGATGTCTGTTAATGGGAAATGGTTAGTTATGCCTTAAGTCATTGAGATAGAAAAGCCTGAAGGAAAGTGGATTTGAATAAAGAAGCGCACCATGAATTTAGTTTTAAACATAGTGATAGAGTAATGACCCTACTCCAAGTTGTTCAACAAACATCCTAGTGCCTAAAACCTGTGAAAATACCCCCTTCAATGAAAAAGGTACTTTATAGGTATGATTAAATAAAGGAAAGAAAGTCATGGCCCTTGACTGTTAAGGTAGCTGTCTTAGTTCAGTATTCTCTTGCTATGAAGAGACACCATAACCACAGCAACTCTTATAAAGGAAAATATTTAATTGGGGTGGCTTACAGTTTCAGAGGTTTAGACCCTTATCGCCATGTTGGGGAGCATGGCAGCTGGGAGTATTGTAGTGTGCAGGCAAATGCAGTGCTAGAGAAGGAACTGAGCATTCTACATCCTGATCCACAGACATCAGGAAGTAAGCTGAGATACTGGGCATGGCTTGAGCATGTATGAGACCTAAAAAGTCTGCCCCCACAGTGACACACTTCCTCCAACAAGGCCATACCTACTCCATCGAAGCTATACCTCCTAATAGTTCCATTCCCTATGAGTTCATAGAGGCCAATTAATTCAACAAACAACTACAAACAACTTATGGGTAAAAGAGAGAGCCAAGAGAGTAAAATTGGTGATGAGAAGTGAGAAAGAACTGTTGCTGGCTTTAGAGATGCAGAGAATCATGAGCCAAGGAATACAGGCAGTCTCTGCAAGTGTGAAAAAGGCAAGCAAATGAATTCTGCCCTAGTGCTGCCAGCAGGAACAAAGCCCCACTGGCATCTTAGTTTTAGCCAGGTGAAACTTAAGTTGCACTGCTTGCTTCCAGAACTGAAAGACAACTTGCCTAGCCTTAAGCCACCAAGTTTGTAGGAACATTTTCACAGTAGTGACAGAAAACTTATATAGACACATTTGAGTTTGAGGTATGGGGGTGTCAATTACACAATGTGAATTATTTAACGACCCATAAGATGATTACAGATTTGAGAGTCTTTGGTACATGGTATGTACAATGTGTATTGTATGTTAGCATCTATAAAACAATGATGTGATTTACAGATGACAATCTCTTGTCATTTTTGACAAATAATGGACTAATGGACCTGTGTGCCTTCTGTCTGTCTGACTGACTGGACAGGACAAATGTGACCCTCTAGAAATTTTACTTAACAAAATAACTAAGGACCATTTGAATAAATTGTATGGATTATCATTCCTGAAAACATCTATTAACATGTTTGCAGACAACCCAAAAGGGTCAACATTAAAACTTTGAGAGTGGATGTCA